TGCTGCGATGAAAAGCCAGAGTCCACAGCGTCGCCATCGTGCGCGAATGTCCCTAGCAGCTTGCCGGTGGCTTTCACACCATAGTGTCCCAATGCGTGGTAGAGGTGTGATGAGGTTAGACGAGATATGGGAGATTTTTGGCGGCACCGTGAGATCGGGAAGATAAGTCCTCATCATTCACGCACTACCGTATCGCAGATGTGCATGCGATGCAAATGACCAGTTCCCTAAAGCACTGCAGCGGATACTTGGTAAATGAACAAGGAGACTGCGCATTCGCGAGAGCCCATGACTTTTGTGATAGACTGGGCGGAGTCGCGTAGTCGATCTTCTGCTGACTGCAGCACCGCCCCCTCAAATTTGGGGGCGGGTTTCGAGGTTTAAGGCGTACCAGCGCCTATGAGGAATGCCAACCGAATGTATCGATCGGTAAGGCTAATGCATCATAGGCCGCCCTCAGTGATCAAAGCCTGCTATGCCGCTGTGGCTGAGTGTCAGTGTTATCGTGGTGGTTATGGTTGTTCTTGAAGTGGCGATCTGCGCGTCGCGTGCGACATGCTGGTAGAAGCCAGCCTTGCCAGGCAGTTGACTCGAAAGGAAGTGCATCGCAACGTATCTCTTCTACCGTAGTCAATCGATGGGTTTGCAAAGCTGATTGTGACGCGTAAATGGGGTTGGACGCGTCGATTGGTAGAAGGAAAGAGCCGATGACGCGGTGGCACAGGCGCCACGATCGGCCCTTCCAAGATTACGAGCCGTCACAAAACTAGAGATGAGAAAGATACAGCACTCGACTATGCTCGTCTCCAGTCGTCCATTTTGATTGTCATTGAATGTCATGATAACTTCCCACCAGGTTCTCAACGCGCCGCAGACGTGTCTTCCGCTTCCAACCACCATCGCTCCTCAAACAAAGGCCATCTCTGGCTTATGTCTCGCTACTTCCGCCTTCCGAATGTTGTGGTAGTCCATATCCCCAAGATCAGAGGTCGTGTTAATTGACACCAGCGGATCATCTTGCGATGCAGGTGGACTTTGCCTCTTGCCACCCCAGATAAACGTTCTAACGGTATTCAATGTCCCCCCTAGAGGTCTCTGAGTAGCGATTCTCGGCGCGTTCGAATCCTCGCGCTTGTCATGGAGGGCGTCGCTTTGCTGCGGACTTCGCCTGCTGCTTCTTGAGGCTCTAGAGAGCCTTAGCACTGACAGAATACGATGCCCAAATCGTTGGAATACACTATCCTGCTTTCGTCGGTCGTCATCCACGGGGTTGGTGATGAAGACTCCGCGGATAACAATGACAGACGCCATGATGAGCGCGACGCACGATTCGACCATAAACCAGTACGCAGCCCACACCGGTGCAGTTCCGAATGCTGCCGCCGTTGTTTCGGTCAACGAGCCAACGACCCGTATCAATGCGCAAACAACCATTACTGCCGAGAGACCCATCAAGGCCACGATTGATAGTTTCCGAGAAAACGACATCATCGACTGGTTTACGACGACAATGGGAACGGTAACGACTAGAAATAATGAGCCTGTGAACCGGGATAATGAAGTTTCTAGCTGTATGACTTACTGAGAATATCGCCTATGATGTCAAGGACGCCAACGATGACGTTACCCGCGACACTTCTCTTATGCATCTGGGCATCGCCGCATTTAGCTGTATGAACTCAGTACTTCGTCTCTTAATAATGGACAAAACGTTGACTGACCTGCGTCTGCACCAAAGTGTGCACATATGACGACAAAGTTGACTACGGCATAGATCCAAGCAATGACAAGAAAGCCTGCGGTGATCCAGAAAAATCTTACGACTCTGACCGAAAGTCCAAGGGTCAGGCCATGGAAGAAGTACATGAAAGCAAATTTGACTAGATAAATGGAATTCCATCCGAAGATGGAGAATACGAACGCCCACTTGGGGATGTCCAAGATCGCAGGAATGTCCTCTCGGAATGGGATTGTCTTCCTTTGGTTTATGGCCTCGACGAGATAGAAAGGATTAAGAGCCTTGTGGACGCAGGCGAACGCTACCGTTAAGCACAGTGACGACACCAAGACGAGTCCATCGTCCCATCGTATTTTTCGGCCTCCAAAGATGCGAATCGCGAAGCGCACGAATACGGAAAGAATGGCAAGTCCAAAAAGGAGTCCAGTTGAGATCTGAAATATTCGTCAGTATTGAGAATATCGGCCAGCATGGGGAGTGCATACCACGAATGGTACCTTGTCGATTCTACCAGCATGTTCGATGGCGTACTGTCTGCCAGGCACGTATTGCGCGGGTGGCAGCTTCGATGGATCAATCGACATGACTGGATAAATGCTTTGGTATGATGAGATCTTGGTGAGAAGACTGAACGATATAGCTACAGAACTTCAGGCGGGACGTCGAGACATAATAAGCACATCTTGCGATGTGGGATCACAGGCGACTGCATAGAAGCTTGGGGCTGAGAAAACTTGGAAATAGTAATTGCGTTCAGAACAGATAATTGCCTGCTCATCTCTTGCGCTAATCATTGGAGTCGCGGCTTCGTGTGCTGGATGGTGGTGACAGCCCGGAGCTGTTGCGTGTGGGGGCTATGACCGGTCGGCGTCGGGTAATGAAGCACGAATCACAACATCCCCAAGAAACCGACGGCTCGGTTGCATGTTATTAACCGGCATGGGTAAAATCATTTCAGCTGTCGGGGTGCATGGCATTGTAGTACAAGACTGCGGTGTTTGTGCTATAGATAGTGCTGACATGCATGTTGCCCAAATAGAGCTAGCGCCCTACCCGTGCCGCCCCCCAAGGCTACTTCCTCGTGCGCCTTGCACCTTCGCCGGCATTTCAACATCAACACTCGCGAAATCGAGCTCACCTACTCGTGCTCTTGTGCCGCCCTCGGCAATCTTCATTGCACAAAACGTGAGTAAGCATGACGTGGGTCAGCATGCCAGCCGTTATGGCTGTTGCCGCCGGAGCCTTGGTCATGTTTGTAGCCAGCTTAATGGGTAATCGGCAACACATCAAGAGGCTACAAAATTCAGGTGCCGTAAGTCGAATCTTCAATATATCGCAGACATGATTCTAATAATAGCAAGCCTATGCCCAAACACCATCCACTGTTCGGTCATCTCATCGTGTTGAAAGAAACCATTCAGGACTTGCCTCGCAACACTGTAATGCATGTGGTAGTACGGCGGATATCAGAGTCATTCCACGGCGGCGTCTTCTACCTCAACCTATGGCCTTTCAACGCTCCTCTCATGGTGGTCGCAAACCCTTATGTTGCATCGCAAGTAGAAGCTGCTTTCCTCAACAAGCCGCCCAACATAAATGCTACCTTGGAGGTCATCAATGGTGGTCCGTCTCTACTGACAATGGAGGGAAGCACGTGGAAGAAATGGCGAGCGCTCTTTAATCCAGGATTCGCTGCTGGCTACATCACAGGACTTTCACCTGCGATCGCCGAGGAAGTCTCAACTTTCTGCAAACTTCTCCAAGAACGCGCAAAGAAAGATGAAGTCTTTCCTTTGGAAGAGTATACTCTTCGGCTAACATTCGACATTATTGCACGTGTTACCCTGTAAGTTCACCATTCAGTACGCTTGCAACATGGGGCAACTGCTGAACATCGGACACAGTGGCTCACGTCTATACTACCAAACCCAAGGAAGCGCGCTCGCAGATTGTCTCCGAAGACAAGTCTACTGGACATCGTTCGGCACAACATTCAACCCGTTCCGTCGCTATCTCAGTCCTCGCCCATTTGTTCAAAAGTACAACAATTACCGTATGAACCGATACCTCGATGAGGAAATCGACAAGCGCTTTGAAGAGTTGGCCAGCTCCCGCAAAGACTCATCTTATGATTCTCGCAAACAGTCGAGATCTATCATTGCGCTAGCCATGGACAAGTATCTCGAAGATGTAGAAGATAAAGATGCGATATCAGAATCGGTCTTCAAGCAACTCGCGAAACCTCAACTTCGTTTATTCCTTTACGCTGGCCACGATACTACGAGCAGCACACTATTATACAGCTACATACTCCTATCGCGTCACCCAGAGGCCTTATCCAAAGTTCGTGCAGAACACGACAAAGTATTTGGGTCAGACTTCTCGCTCGACACCATCACTCGGACTATCGCGGACGACCCCTCACTACTGAACCAGTTACCTTACACCCTGGCCGTCATCAAAGAGGTTCTACGCATCTTTCCTCCCGCCGGCAGCATGCGCGATGGCCGTCCAGATGTCTTCCTATCAGATGAGCAAGGCCACCAATATCCTACAGACGGCTGTAACATCTGGACCCTCACCTTAGCTTTGCATCATAACCCCGAAGTATTTGTGCAGCCAGAAGACTTCATTCCTGATCGCTGGCTAGTCGATCCTGAAGACCCATTGTACCCGAAGAAAGCTTCGTGGAGAGCTTTTGAGTGGGGTCCCCGTGCATGCATCGGGCAGACACTTGCGCAGTTGGAACTCAAAATTGCTTTAGTCATGACTGTGAGGATGTTCGATATCACTCCGGCGTATGAGGAGTGGGACAGATTGCATCCGAGGAAGGGTATCAAGACTGTTGATGGAAACCGAGCGTATCAGGCTGAGATGGGGGGTGGTGGAGCTCATCCGGTGGATGGGTTGCCAGTCAGGGTCACGTTACGAGCGTGAGTGAAGTACATGAGAACGTGAAGAAGGAAGACTGTCGTCCGTGAAAAGTTACATGTTGGCTAGATACTAGGAGTCGCTGCACCGAAAAGATGCATGCTGCATTCTATAATTACTCGATACAGGGTACAGATGTTCACGGCTGGCTTCGGCCATCGTCTGGATTTCGTACCCTCAGATTGGAATCTTCACCTTCACTTTCACTCTCGAAACCGTCCTAGTCTAACGTCTGTGCTCTGCTCTCGCTAGGGTTTCCTCTTGCACATATTTCTGCCAGCATAGCGACACACAGTCGACTGAACATCGATTCGCACTCAACCACAACACTATGGACAACGCCTGCGACGAGCTTCTGGCTCGTACAAAAGCGTGAGTAGATTCTCATCGGCAACGGCTGTGTTTTGCTAATGTGCGCTCTTAGTTTACTCTCATCAGGCGATTACTCGGATCTGATCATCACCTGCGGTTCAGACGTTTACAACGTGCACAAAGCCGTTGTGTGTCCTCAGTCGTCGTTCTTCGAAAGGGCTGTGAGGTTCGCTGTAGGCAAGGTACGTCCGGCCAGAAGCATATAAAAAGACGTTCATCTAAGCTCTTATGCAGGAAGCCGCGGAGGGGAAGGTCGACTTGCCCGAGGACGATCTGCACGTAGTGAAGCTTCTCGTCCAGTACTTCTACGAATGCGAATATAGCCCAGAGCTGAACGAGTTGATTCGAACTTTTGAGTCTGCCAAGATGCCTATCACGAATCGACAACCTGGCTACCACTACCTATTTCCTCATACTTGTGAGCCTGGTTGCCCACCTCCTCATCATAGCGTGTGTCAGCACCATACTTGCGTGGGCGAGACTTGTAAGGAGAAATGCGTCAACTTCATTTGCAAGCAATGCATCAAGACTCAACTATCCGAAGGCGACGCAGCCCAACTTCTTCTGCACGCGATGATGTATGAGGTGGCGGACAAGTACGATATTCCTGGATTGTCAGTGCTGGCGAAGGAGAAGTTCGCCCGCTCGTGTGAAGCTTGTTGGGATACCGAAGGTTTCGTCACGGCCGCTGAGCATGCCCTCACTACGACGCCCGACAGTGATACCGGATTACGAGAGTCACTCTATCAGACTGTCGTAGGGAACATCGAGCTGCTCAACAAACCAGCCATCGCGACGTTGCTCTCTGAGCATGCCGCCTTCGCACACGGTGTTCTCAGACGCCTAGCGGAGGAGAAAGCAGGCTTGAAGGCGATGGCCAAGACGGCCTCCTGAATGGGTCAGTGGTCGTAAACGACCCTACTCGCAAGAAGGCAGGCAGGCACACATGGCAAACAAGAGGGGAAATTGGTGGAGGAAAGATAGATCCATTCCAGATATCTAATCTACCTCACATTGCGTTCCATATCAAGAGTAACGTACAGTACATCAACTTGTGTCCAATGAGATGGGAGACACATGCTCCATGTAGAAAACCAGACGCCGATACCGAACCCATCCCATTCCATATATCAGTAGACCCTCTTGGGTCATATTAACGATCATATCATGTCACATTTACTGGCTAGCGACGCGCTCCTTAACCTTCTCGAACATAGACTCCATCTCCTCGGCGATGAAGTCCTCGATCTCTTGCTCAAGGTGCTGGAGCTTGCCTCCGGCGCGGTGAGCGGTGCGGCTGGCAGACTCCTTAGCGCTCTCGAAGTCACCCTCGATCTCGGAGAGAGAAGGGATGGTGATGGTGAACTCGGACTCCTCCTCCTTCTCGGCAGCCTTCTTGACAGAGTAGCCACCCTTCTCAACAATCTCGGTGTAGTTGGAAGAGCCACCACCGTTCCAGGCGAGGACGTTCTTGGTGTTGCTTGGGACATCAGAGAGAGCACCGACGGTGGCGACGGAGATGAGGTTCTCCTTGAGCTTCTTGGGGGTGATGTCGGCGACAGCGTAGGCAGAGTCCTTGCTTGGCTGGAGAGACAGCATGTAGGCGAGGAGACCAGCAATGTGGGGAGAGGCCATTGAGGTTCCAGAGATGGTGTTGGTGGCGTGCTCAGAGCCGATCCAGGTGGAGAGGATGTTGAGACCAGGGGCGAAGATGTCGTTGCACTTTCCGTAGTTGGAGAAGTAGGCACGCTCATCGAGGAGAGTGGAGGCACCGACGGTGACGGCCTTCTCAGCAGCAGCTGGGGAGTAGTTGCAGGAGTCGGCGTTGTCGTTACCGGCAGCGACAGCAAAGTGGATACCAGCGTCAACGGCAGCGTTGACAGCGAGGTCGAGGGTGGTGGACTTGCCACCTCCCAAGCTCATGTTGGCGGCGCTTCCCTTGAAGCCCTTCTTCTTGCCGTCCTTAGCGGCCTTGACGGTCTCAGAGTGAGACTTAGCAGCGTACTCAACACCCTTGACGACGTCGGACATGGTGCCGGAGCCGTTGGAGCGGAGGACCTTGACGGCGTAGACGTGCGCCTTCTTAGCGACACCGTACTTCTTACCGGCGACAGTGCCGGAGCAGTGGGTGCCGTGGCCGTTGCCATCCTCGTCGGCATCGCCGTTGGGGATGGTCTTGCCCCACTTAGCACGACCCTCAAAGTCAACGTGCTTGGTGTTTGTGCCGGTGTCGATGACGTAAACGTCAACGCCCTCACCACCGTCGGCGGCGTAAAGGTACTTGTTCCAGGTGCCGAAGCTCAGGGAGTCGCGGTGCGAGATACGGGCGAGACCCCATGGGGAGTTCTTCTCGACTTCAGGTTCGTCGTGGCCGAGGGTGTGGACCTCTGAGTCGCGCTCGATGTAGTCGACCTATCAAGGTGTTAGCGCCAAGTCTTATGCAGGTACAAGTACCTAGATGGCGTCACGTGTGCTGATGCGGAGCCGGAGCTGCCTTGCGGAGATAAGGCCGCCTAGGCAGCGCTCACTCTAGGCCACCAACGCGCTGACGCCATCTGGGATGATGCAAGCTGGTAACAGCTGGGGATGGAACTTACATCGGGGTGGTTCCTGATGGCCTCGATGGTCTCGTCGTCGAAGTGGCCAGAGTAGCCCTTCATGCCGGCCATCTCGTAAACGTGCTTGAGACCATCGAAGACCTCAGTGGTAACGGGGAACTGCGAGGAGCGCTTTCGCAGCTCCATGCGCTCCTCGTTGTTCTTGGTGTGGATGCTCTGGACCCAGTCGTGGTGCTTGGAGGCATCCTTGACGTGCTTCTTGAAGACGACCATGTAGCTGTTGGGCACCTCCTTGGCAGAGGTCGACGACAGCACTGGGGCGGCGTTCTTGTGAATGGTCTCTACGTTGAAGGTAGGCGACGCGGCGGCCAAAGCCGGTAGCGCGAAGACCAGGCTGTACTTCATGATGGCGGAGCTCGCACAGCGAGAACTAGAAACACAAGGGTAAAGGGGTGCAAGAAGCGTGATAGATGAAGGAAGGGGTGATGGGAGGGAGGAGAGTGTTGTGGAGGAGAGATGGGGATGCAGCTGGGGTAGCTCTGGCGATGGAGCTTCTTATCAGGACCTCGGTGCATGGCCCGGGCGCGCTAGGTGGATGACGCATGACCTATCCGCGCCCGCGCGAGTGAGGCTGGGGTGAGCTAGCGCACGCGCCATGAGTATCAGATGAATGATACACGGTTGGTATCAGGACACCCGAGTGCCCTGGGATGCAGACTGATTGTAGAGGCTGGCTGTGTTGGTGGAGCGTGGCTTCACATATGGGTTACTGGGAGCCAACGTTGGTCTGACATGTACTGAGGTAGTTATCGATATGCCAGCCACACCTGGGCAATGCGTGCTCACGTGAGAGGCAATAGTCAGGAGCGCACCATGCGGCCCGCGTGAGACAGAACGCGTGTTTATCATAACTATGTTGGTAGGCGATATGCACAGCTCTTAGTGCTGGCGCATTGTTTATCAGTACCTTGCTTTGCGGCGACTTGACGTTGCTCGGCGCGTGCAGCGTGGGAGCCTGGCTGAGCTCTGGACTGACAGGGATCAGCTTCGATGACCAGCTTAGCAGCAACCACGACGAGCGCGGAGCCCGCCCGCCGTAATCAGCCCTCATTGTGCGCCCGCCCACCACCAAACGACACGACTAGTATTCCCCGCAAGTTGAGGTCTCATGTGCGGGCTTGGGGCTCGGGAGACATGAAGGTGCTACCCGTGCAGCCATCACCTCCGCCCAAACTCCGCAGCAGCGGTCTCGCCTGAACATGGCGACGACGCGGCCGCACAGGTCCTCCACGGCCGCCTCACGACTGCCGCCGATGAATAACCAGATAGCCGAACTCCGAAGCCTAGCGGATGAATTGATCAGGGCCTCCGAGACCACACCACCGACCGCCGACGTCCTCCACAACCAGAGCAACGCCCTCCGCCGCATGCGCCAGCTGCTGATCGAGTCCAACGACCAAACCCATACCAAAGACGCGTTTCGCCATGTCCGCGGCTTCGAGACCCTCCTCATTACCCTGCGCTCCCTCTCCGGCTTCTACAAACCCGCCGAGCTGCCCACGCCCGACCGCATCGACTTCTTCGAGGTGATCAAGGGAACACTCGATGTCCTGTCAGACGCGCTGAACGAGCATGCCGGTAATAGGCGCTTCTTCGCCAAGCGCGTCGAGCACGGCGGCTGGAGTGCTTTGGAACAGGCCCTGGCCAGCACTGGCATTTTTGGCGGACAGTCGCAGAGCAAGCGTGACGATGCCGGCCAGGAGCAGCTTTTCGGCACCCTGTTCGCCTTTGCGTTGGGCGAGGAGACCATGACACGCATCTTCAGGGATATTGATAAGAAGGTCGAAGTCGCACAACCCAAGCAGGACGAGGACGCAGCAGCCAGCGGCGACTCGCAGCCTACTGAGATCGTAGTCTCTAGCCCGCGGTCCGTGTACAGCGATACCGATCTCGATCTTGACCCACTACGCGGCCAGGTGCGGGCTATATTCAGCGGCAATGAGATACTGCAGAACCCAGACATCATTCCGACCATCTTCCACTTCTGGCGGGGTCTCTCTGGTGAAGATGCCCCGGGCACGCGCTCCAAGGCTCTTTCCATATCGGTGCTGCTTGCCATCCTGGAAATCACTTCCATCTCATCTTACAACAAAGCTGCGCTGCACGTCACTGGCGTCTTGAGCAGTGTCCTGCCCCTGCTCTTTGAGAACAAGTGCGCTCCCATAGAAGCTAGCCTCTTGCAAGAGCTGGCCGACGACCTAATTCAGTACGGCATCAACAAGCTGGACGATGCATACTACCTCTTCCGCAAAGCAGCGTCTTCTGAATCAGCTGCTGAGTTTCTCTTGCGTGGTATGCGCTCCTCCCGCGACCCTCCCTTCATACAATTCGATCTATCTTTGCATGGCTTCAGCGCTGTTGAACTTCCAGACATTGGTCGTCCATTCCCACCCATGTCCCCCGGAGGCGGATATACATTTGCTGCTTGGGTAAGGGTCGACAGGTTCGACGCCGACTGCCATACCACCCTCTTCGGCGCATACGACGATACACAAACGTGTTTTCTCATGGCATATCTGGAAAGGGATACGCGTTGCTTTATCCTGCAGACTTACATGGGTCATTCTACTGGTGTCGTACCCAGTGTCAGATTCAAGAAAGCTCCTCGTTTCGAAGCAGGCCGGTGGTATCACATCGCTGTGGTTCATCGGAGAGCCAAGACTATCGGTATCGGCGCTGCTAAGGCATCTCTTTTCGTCGATGGTGAGTTCACCGAGACTATGAAAGCCCACTACCCTTCGCATCCTCCGTTACTGGATAGCAGCCAGGATAGCTTTGCCTCCATGTCTTCTAGCGTATCCAAACACCACATACTCGCGTTCTTGGGAACACCACGGAACTTGGCGCCTCGGCTGGGTAGAAACGTCATTGCCTCTAAGCTCTCAGTCGCCTCCTTCCATCTATTCTCTGAACCGCTGTCAGATGAGCTGATCGCTGTATATCATAAACTTGGTCCGCGTTATTGTGGAAACTTCCAAGATAGGCTCGGGTCGTTTCAAACCTACCGTACCTCTGCTGAGCTTCATGTTCACAACGAGATACTACATCCTGGGAGAGAGGAACGATCCGACATCGTAGCAGCTATTCGGGCCAATGCAAGCCATCTCATGCCTGAATCGAAGATAATACTGAGCTTCTCTCCCAGTTCCGTAATGGACGACGATGACAGAAATGCCATCGATGAATCCCAACTAATCCGATCACTATCACGCGAATCAGCTAAAACTCTGCATAAGTATACCAGACTTCATAGTACTCCGATCATCATCAATGCCG